ATGTGTTTTTATAGCAACTTTTGTATAATTTGACTCAATTAGTTCGCCAACATTTTGGAAGATCATTAATACAACCCATACGAGTGGCACCTCTTGTACAGGAGATATTTGAAACAAAATCATTGAACAGATTATGATTACATTTGTTATATTTGTGCAACTATTCAGATATTACCAAATTAACATTTTAATTTTACACATTATATATTTTGTTTTGTAAAAGTTGTTAGGTATAATTATATATAGTATTGTTTATTATATTTGTTATTTAACATTTGTATTGATTATCTCTATGGTTATTTTGTTTAATAAGTATTTTATTTGATGCAAAACACTTGCTTAATTTTGTCTCAAATTAGTTATGCTGTAAATAACAAAATGCTCATTTAGAATTTTAATGTAGAAGTTACAAATTGATCCTGATACTTTAATATCATTTTAGTGCCATATTTTAACATATTTACTATGTTTGTGATTAATAAATTTGAAAAGTTACAAATATTTTCTGTAATTCAATAATATTTTGCAATAATTGTTAATTTTAACAATGGCATACGGATGATTGAATGAATAAGGTTGCGTTACCTTGATTTTATTATAATAATTATATAATTATAATATTTTTTTAAAAAATCAATATTTCCCAATAGTTGAGTAAATCTACAATTAGATGTGCTACAACTTAAGTGTGTATATTTAAAGCTCTTTAAGACATTAATGTTTTTGCACTTAATAGTGATTTTAAGTGCATATTATGGAAAGCTTATGTTCACAAATTCACAAAATGTAAACTTATATTTCATATTTCATATGTTTTAAGAATGATTACTCTCCACTCAATAATTGATCGGAAAAAATATACTTAATTCGAGAATTGGTCGCTATTTTTAATGAACACTTGTTTTTATTAAAGGAAAACATTAATTATTAATTAATATTTAAAATAATGTTTGAAATGTGTTGTTAAGTGAAACTAACAAAATATTAATATTTTATAATGAAGTTAAACTACAATACTGCCCTTTATGCTTAAACTAGATGCTAATTGAATTCACGTAAATTGTATTAAAAATTAATAAAGTTAAGGTTAATAAAAATAATAATAATAGGTGTATAAAAATACAAATACATCATGATTAAATAATGATTACGTAATAACTACTAATTGTGAAGGACCTTGTGTTAGAAATGATAATATTAATAAATAAATAAAAATGAACGATAAAATTTGCACAGTTTGTGGCGATCGGGCCATTGGTATGTATATTAAGTTAATAGACATTTAATTTATTAATAATTAAATATCCGAAAATATAAATAGGCCATAATTTTGGTGCCCTAACGTGTGAATCGTGTAGGTCATTTTTTCGTAGAAATGCAACACGTTTTGAGGTTTATATAATTATTTTAAATTGAAATGTAATTTATTAACAATATGTTTAATAAGGAATATGTGTGCGTTTTTGGTCACAATTGCGATATAAACCGTTTGACGCGAAAATTTTGTAAAAAGTGTAGACTTAATAAATGTCTGGCGAATGGCATGAAAAAAGTGAGTAAATTGTGTGAAATATTTTAACTGTAATTAATGTAAAATTAATTTAACTGTAAAATGTTTTAAAGGAGGCGTTAACCTATGGTGAATACAATTCTGTGCATCTCTTTCGACCAAAACGATTGAAAATTGATTATCCGATTGTCTCCACAACCGATGAGTATAGAGTGGACGGCTGTTTAGATGTTGGTACAAATAATGTGCGATAATTTAATTAAATATTAAGTATTATTTCTGTTACAATAATAACGATATTTTGCTTATCAAATAAATAGAAAATAGTTCCCAATAATAATGAATTTGACAAGTATAATAACGATTATGATCTAGATGGCTTAAATACAAACAATGAATGCTCAACTCGTTTAAATGAATTAAATGAGACCAACAAAATTGATAGAATTAGAGGATCAGTAATCCGGGGATTAATATTTAACTTCAATGAGTTAGAGATGAATAGATTTAAGGAGTTATTCAATTCAGTGGCTTTGGTCAGAGGAAAACCTGTACCGCCGTTGACGACAATAGCGTATGAGACGGAGAGTGTGTCGGATGGCATTCAATATATTATCAGGTAAACATTAAAATGATTTCAAATGTATTTTTATTAGCCTTATTATTTTAATTACTTTGTAATACAATTCGTATGAATAAAGGGTTTAACTTCACTATAATATTACTGCATTTTAATATTTTAATGTAGTTAACAATATATTAATATTTTTATTAAAACTTGGTTTTACTCAACAACACATTTGAGGTATTATTTAAAAAAGTAATTAATAATAAGTGTTTTCCTTTAATAAAAACAACTGTTCACTAGAAATAGAGACCAATTCTCGAATAGCCGTATGTTTACTAATAACTTATATACAGTAAATAACTTACATATTATTATTAATAAGTATTTTGGATCAATGATTGAGGAAATTCTTAAGGCATGTAAAAGTTATTTACATTTTGTAATACAACATAAGGTTTCCCATAATATGCACTTAAAATCGCTATTAAGTGCAAAAACGTTACATTTACTTTGTATGACGTGATATTTCATGTCTTGAAAGGTTTTAAATATACATATTTAAGTTATAACACATTTGACTGTAAAGATAAATTTACTTGAATATTGAGAAATTATTAATTTTTCTTTGTATAGCATAATTTTAATGTCCTTATAATAAAATCAATCATACATTTTGCAACATAACCTTGTGCATTCAATCATCCGTATGCCTTTTGCTAAAATTAACAATTAATGCAAAATATTATTGAATTACAAAACATTTATTAAATTGTTTAAATTTATCAAGCAAATAATAGTTTAAATCTAGTTGTTCGGCAAGTGTAAATTGAGTGTAAAAATGAGAATTTGTCATTGTAAATAGTATATTGTATTGTCTTTATAATGATTCTTAGTTATTATAATTAGTGAGCATGTCAATTAATTGAGTATAGTTTTATATACAATATACGCTACGTATAATACCATTTCTTAAAAAGGACGTATAAGTATAAATATGGTAAATTATCATGCCAAAATTATAATAATTTAATATTTAATATAATTACAATTTATAATTGTATATGCAACCTAAAGTATCAGGATCAACTTGTACATTAAAATTCTAATTCAAAAATTATATGAGAGAGATTCAATGAAACAACATTAATTATTTCATTAATTAACAAATTATATTACAATTTAACCAAGACTAGATTCTAAAGAGTATTAGCTGCAATCATCACATAGAAAACTACATGTATGTAAGTTATGTGTTTTGACTTTGAATCAGTTCACACATCATTACTCCAGATATACCGAAGCCGTGATTGTGTTAACAGCTATTCATTACCAGAAAATATATTTCGACAAAAAGTCTAAACAATTAAATATGGACTCAATTGCGACAACTCTTCCAAATGAAGTGGAAGAATGCCCTCAACTATTATAGGCAATGACCCGAACATTAAGTGCTAACCGAGTATTATATTGTTTAACATCAATATTATTTTATAATTCATTAGTTTTCTTTATTTAATATTATAAATAAATAAAAGATTTAATTTTTAAAATGTGTCTGCGATTGACTAACGCATAAATTAAATGGACAACATAAATGATAGATTAATACTACAATGCTATCTATAACTTAGTTATTATTATTATATAACATGAATGTAAATGTTTATAAAAATACATGAATGTAAAATTAAACTGTTATGTTTGTAATATTTGATTAGCTATAAAATTATATTGAATGCAATCAATTAATCATGATCAACAGATTTTGTTTCAAATATCTCCTGTACAAGAGGTGCCACTCGTATGGGATGTATGAGTGCTTTTCCAAAATGATGGCAAACTAATTGAGTCAATGAATACAACACTTGCAGACAATTCATTAAACGTACGAATCGTGTCTCAGATTCTGATATTGAGTTGTGTTTAGTCTCTAAATACCGTTGAAGTAAATACATGTATGTCTTCCGTTGTAATCTATAAGATAGTAACTAAATTATTAAACATTTAACTGTTATACTAAATATACTTACATTATACTGTGTTTATGAACCAGATTTGATACATCTGGATTAAAAAGTACAATTGACGAAAGCTAAAAATGTATAACAACAATTTATTAATATTGTCTATGTCAATCTAAATATATTAAACATGTTTAATACCAAATCAATTAAATTCATATCAACATTGCATTCAGCTCTCAGACCAGACATGAAATTCCAGTGACTTTGTATCACTACATTACTCCATCCCTCCAAAACACTCATTTGTAATAGCGTTGCGTTCTCTTCGTCCTAATATTTTATGATCAAAACATAGTATTTATAAAATTAATTAAAAATAAATCTCATCTGAATTTAAAATACAATAATAGCATACAATGGGAATCCTCCAGAACTGGCCCTCGACATCGAAATCAACGATATTCTGCAAAAGCCAGAGTTGAGGGCATCCGGCCTTCAGGAGCGCAATCTTGTCGTCTTCGCACAACTCATTGAATCCATTAATATTTGCTGACATTTTAACCATTCGTGTAAACTTGAGATCAGCCCTGTTTTGAATCAATTGAATGCCATCCGAAGCGGTATTCGTTTCGTACGCTATTGTGGTCACAGGATTTCCTCTGACGACAGCCAATGAATTGAATAACTCTTTAAATCTGTTTATTTCTAACTCATTGAAGTTGAATATTAATCCCCTGAAAACTGATCCTATTATGCTATCACTATTGGTGTTCATATTTAATTCATTTAACCCAGATTTAATGGTTGCATTTAAATGATCTAGGTGATAATCCTTATTATATTCATCAGATGATAGTCCATTATTTTTGGGAATACATTTTTCTAATTAATAAAAATAATGGTTAATATTATGATTAAAATAACATTGTAATAAATGTCTCCATATTTTTTGTACCGAGAGTTAAACAGCTCTCGACTTTGTGCTCATCGGTTACGGAGACAATGGGAGCGCCATTTTTGGGCCGTTTTCGTCGATAACGACGCGAATCATTGTTTTCGCCATAAGTTAGCGCTTCCTTTAAGACAACAAACTTTAAATATACTGTTATTACTATATTTTCAACAAATCACTCACTTTTTTCATGCCATTGGCCAAACATCTATCAATTCTACACTTTTTACAGAATTTTCGTGTCAAACGGTTTACCTCACAATTGTCACCGAAAAAACAGCCAAATTCCTAATTAAACATATTATTAATATATAAAACTTCAAATCATAACAATTATATAAAACTTCAATTCATAGCAATAATTGTTATAATTATTATATAATTATTATATAAACCTCAAAACGTGTTGCATTTCTACGAAAAAATGACCTACACGACTCACACGTTAGGGCACCAAAATTAGTACCTATTTATATGTCCGGATATTTGATTATTAATAAATTAAATGTCTATTAACTTAATATACATACCAATGGCCCGATCGCCACAAACTGTGCAAACTTTATCATTCATTTTTATTTATTTATATTGACATTTCTAATATAATGTCCTTCACAATTATTATCAGGTAAACATTAAAATGATTTCAAATGTATTTTTATTAGCCTTATTATTTTAATTACTTTGTAATACAATTCGTATGAATAAAGGGTTTAACTTCACTATAATATTACTGCATTTTAATACAGCATTTTAATATTTTAATGTAGTTAACAATATATTAATATTTTTATTAAAAGTTGGTTTTACTCAACAACACATTTGAGGTATTATTTAAAAAAGTAATTAATTAATAATTAAGAAATAATTATAAGTGTTTTCCTTTAATAAAAACAACTGTTCACTAGAAATAGAAACCAATTCTCAAATAGACGTATGTTTACTAATATTAACTTATATACAGTAAATAACTTACTTTTTATTATTAATAAGTATTTTGGATCAATGATTGAAGAAATTCTTAAGGCATTTAAAAGTTATGCTCACATTTCGTAATACAACATAAGGTTTCCCATAATATGCCCTTAAAATCGCTATTAAGTGCAAAAACATTACATTTACTTTGTATGACATTTGATGTCTTGAAGGGTTTTAAATATACATATTTAAGTTATAACACATTTGATTGTAAAAATAGATTTACTTGAATATTAAGAAATTATTGATTTTTCTTTGTATATTATAATTATAATGTCATAACATGTTGCAACATAACCTTGTGCATTCAATCATACGTATGCCTTTACTAAAATTAACAATTATTGCAAAATATTAATGAATTACAAAAACATTTATTAAATAGCTTAAATTGATCAAAATAGTTTAAATCTAGTTGTCCTGGAAGTGTAAATTGAGTATAAAAATGAGAATTTGTTATTGTAAATAGTATATTGTTTTGATCAACATCCTTATATTGATTCTTTGTTATTATAATTAGTGAGCATGTCAATTAATTGAGTATAGTTTTATATACAATATACAGTATGTTACGTATAATACCATTTCTTAAAAAGGACGTATAGGTATAAATAAGGTAAAATATCATGCCAAAATTATAATAATTTAATATTTAATATAATTACAATTTATAATTGTATATGCAACCTAAAGTATCAGGATCAACTTGTACATTAAAATTCTAATTTTAAAATTATATGAGATAGATTCAATAAAACAACATTAATTATTTTATTAATTAACAAATTATATAAACAAAGACTAGATTCTAAGGAATATTAGCTGCAATCATCACATAGAAAACTACATGTATTTTAAATACGGTAATTTAAATAAGAATAATAAATGTAAATAGAAATGAGGAATATTATATTTTATAACATGAATGTAAATGTTTAAAAAAATACATGAATGTAAAATTAAACTGTTATGTTTGTAATATTTGACTAGCTATAAAATTATATTACATGCATTCAATTAATCATGATCAACAGATTTTATTTCAAATATCTCCTGTACAAGTGGTGCCACTCGTATGGGATGTATGAGTGCTTTTCCAAAATGATGGCGAACTAATTGAGTCAACGGATACAACGCTCGCAGACAATTCATTAAACGCTTGAATCGTGTCTCCGATTCCGACTTTGAGTTGTGTTTAATCTCTAAATAGCGTTGAAGTAAATACATGTATGTCTTCTGTTGTAATCTATAAGAAAATAAGTAAATTATAACAATTTTCATTTCTATATAAATAACATTACTTTATACTGTGTTTGTGAACCAAATTTGGTACATCTGGATCAAAAAGCACAATTGATGATAGCTAAAATTTAAATCAAACAATAAATTATTTATTAACTCTCAAAATCACTATTCATTACATAAAATATTTGTTTAATAAGTTACCAAATCAATTAAACTCATATCACAATTGTATTCAGCGTTCAAACTAAACATGAAATTCCTATGGCTTTGTATCACTTCATCACTCCATCCCTCCATAACACTCGTCCGCAATAGCGTTGTCTTTTCTTCGTCCTAACATTTTATGATTAAAATATAGTATTTTAAAAATGTTTTAAACAGAATAATAGGCTATTATTAATGGCATACAATGAAAACTCTCCAAAACTTGCCGTCGATATCGAAATTAATGATATTCTGCAAAAGCCAGAGTTG